AAATTTTAGGAGTTTTCAACGTTTAAAACCATGCAGACATAACTCCTTCCCCTTTTCCCCCCTTCCCAGCCCCTGGGTCGTTTATGTATACAAATTATTTATTATTCGTTTTGATATAAAACTAATTGTGAATAATACAAAAATGTACATGTACACAAAGTTTAATGGCGGGTCCCTGAATGACTTTCATTTTCTAATTCTAGGAGGGTGGGATAACCCTAGGGGGTCATGAATAAAATGTCAAGCAGAGTATCACTGACACACATACTGTGACCATTTCCAGTTTCAGGGTGAGGATGACTTCAAGGGGGTCATAACCTTTATACCATTAAATGCAAAATGCCTTATGCCATAATGCCTTATACCATTAAATGCATAATGACTCAAGGGACAATATTATATATGGTTAAGGGAAGAGGTTTTTAACCATTTTCGAGATATATGATCATTTAAAGTTTTAGGCGTTGGGAAAGACCTCCGGGGGGTCATGACCCCATACATCCTATTTAGTGTGTCATAATACAAAGATGACTTATGGGCTTTTGCTTTAATGAAAGCTATTTTATTGTTTCTGGTTCCAAAGAGTGGGAATGACCCCAGGGATTTGCTTCAATGTATCATTTGCATGTGGCATTCCGATGATCTTTGACCCTTTTCCAACTATATGCCCCTAACCACTTTCATTTCTGATCATTTTACCCCGTTCTATACTAAACTTTTAAAATAATATATTCATAATGTACTTGCCGCCTGTTATAGGTACTGTTAACTTCATAGAATAATAAATCCATTTAAAACACACACTATTAATATTCCCACTGGTAATAATGATGTACATACACCATGTGCAATTCAATAATGATAACGGTAAAAGTAGTGCTCGCAGTGTGACGTAATTCCAACTGCATGCGCGGGTCTAGAAATTTTTCCAAAAAGGTGTACATCTACATCTGTGAAATTTATATTATAATTACATACAATGTTTTATTTTTTACATAAATTTGTGTTATCTATTCCAAATATGACAGAAAAATAGGTGTATCGTGGGTGGAGTTAATCGGGTCAAAGTTTGGAAAGGGGTTCTCCGAGTTCTACCCAAATACTGATAAAAAAGTTGTCATTTTGGTATCTAATTTTGTTTTAAGTTCATCAAAAAAGCTATGCACTAAAATAATAACATTTGTTGTTTTGACAATAAACTCAATAAGTGTCAATTATGGGGCAAAAATTAACCCCCCCCCCCCCTTTTTTTTACACAAATCTTTCAAAAATTCTCTCCTTAACATAATTAACATTATTAAATTATGTAATACATGTATAAGACTAGTAATGAAATATTTACATAAGAGGCCCATATGGGCTGCATATTCACCTGAGCATTTTATGCTTGATTTAAATGTGTGCTTCTTCCCTGGTTACCAGAATTTGAAGGAGAGCGCATTTAGAGGCAAACACCTTAGTGCGGGTATTACTGTCTTATGACAGCATCTAGTTATAACTGTATTTTGGAAGAACTTAGCTTTAATTTAACTTTTGGAAATCTACCTTATACTCGCAGCTTAAATAATTTCTAAAGATGAAATTCTTCAAAATCACATATCAGTATTTAAAACTTTTAACATAATTTCATACATGTAATTGTTTATTTTGATTACAACCTCAAAAGTCATGTTATTTTTTTTAAATGGCTAATAAAAGAGATCTCTGTATTTATATTGTTAAAGTCAGTACAATGCAAACGGAAAATCCCTATTCCATTGAATATTATTTTGAGAATAAAGTAAATTTTTAGGAAACAGGTTTTTTTTCTAAAATGGTGTCCAAATATGAGCAATATGGGACTTGAGTGGCAAAATTTGTCTGCGATCAAAACATTCGGCAGCCATTTGGAACAAATAAAAAAAAAAAAAAAATAGATCCACATGTTAAAAGTTTGTCTTAAAAAACAAATGATTCAGTGTTATTGAAACTTTTATAATGATAAAATGGTATGGTTAATATATGTTTTTAATTTTTGTAAAATTTCTTTTCATAATTACTTTTTAAGAAAACCGAAAGTCAGGACATGTTTGCTGAAACACCCTGTTTTACAAATTCCTAATACCTAGTTTTTGATACATTTTAAAAATAAATTCACTCTTAAATTTTAAAAGTCAGCCCCTAAAAAACTGTTAGAAACTGTTAAATTTGACTGACACTTCTTCTACATGTCTTAACAAAATATTTACAAGAAAATATAAGAAACGCCTAAAAAGAAAAAAAAATTCTATGTGTGCTTTTGTGAGCCATAGCAAGATTCGACATATATCTTTTCCGATGGATAGGAAATCAAAATTCACAACAATATCACTGAAAAAATATCTTGTACATGTACTATTTTTGAATAGTTTTTAAAAGTAAGCTCGGTCAAGCGCTCCATAAAAAAAAAAAAACAACCAACCCGCAAGACTTTTGTTCTTTCAGTTTGATGAAAATCAAACGAAGTAGAGGAGAAAATATAGAAATAGTAAGAAAAAAAGAAACCACTGAGGACAGAAATCCATAGGAGTATAACCTTTGCCTTTGTAATGTGCTGACCTATATTTGAAGTTCAATCATACCGGACATTGGGTTTGTTCAGCTAAATTCTCATAAAACTGCATAAAGGAATAAAAAAAAAAATGATGTTTTTCACTGGTGGATTTACTATTTAACGTTTTTGCGATGCATTGAGCAGCCGATTTCTACTTAAAATGTTACTTTTTATGAGAAAAAAATTTGAAATACTTGTCTCCAATGTAATACATAGAATAAGAAAGAATGACCGGAATTTCTGAAATTATTTTCTTCTGATTGTTCGCAATCTTAACATGCGATTGAATATTTTAGGAATGACTCTAATTCTTGGCCAAATTATTCGAGCATAACCTGGTTTGGGTCAGTTTACGCTTTATATTCCACGAAGCGGATTATAAAACAGCGTAAACTGACCCAAACCAGGTTATACTCGAATAATTTGGCCAAGAATTAGAGTCATTCCTTATAATTTAATTTTAAAATCATTAAATAACTATGGGTGTAAAATTTCGTTGCTTTTTATTAGTTCAAATTTGCCACTCAATAATACAACCGTAGTAACGGAAGTAACGGAAGTGATGGGAAGCGAGGGGAGGTAAAAACTGATACATAGGCCTAGCAGCTTGTTTACATGTGGTAAGATCGAATTATTGTTTGAAGTTAAAGGTATATTAATTAAATCTGGAATTTTCCATGAATCCCGAGGACCGGAAATGAGAGGATTGCATGCATACAGATGATTCAGCTGGTTGTCAGGGGGGGGGGGGGGGGGGTGTCCCCATACCAAACCAGGTTATAAAGAAATAATTTGTGTTCCTTTTTGGATATTAACCAATCAGAGGCTAGAATACAAACAAAATTAAATTATATATATATATATATATATATATATATATATATATATATATATATATATATATATATATATATATATATATATATATATATATATATATATATATATATATATATATAAAGATTTCATGTACTGAACATTTTTTTTTCATGTCAAACACTGTTCCAAACAAAAGAAGATTCGCCTCAGCCATTAATTTAAGTTTTGATATAAATGTAAGGATAAATTTTTCTACTTAAGAGACAATAAACATTTCACATATAACAAATACATTTACACCTTTTGGAAAGATATGTGAGTTGTTTATCTTAAAATTTTGAATTATGATTTCTAATTATGTTCAACAGTAAAGGTTGAATCTTAAAGAGATATTGACTTGAAGTCAAATATTACAATCTTTAAAACCTCAGATTTATTGAGTTTTAAAGTTCTAGTTAAGCATTAATTTGTAAAATATTTTATAACTAAATTTGTAAGTGTTACTATACAACGAAAAAAAGAAGATTTTTATGCCTTCCATATGCTCAGAATGAAATTTTAAACATATTGACTAATGGCATCCACAAGTTTTATTAGAATTTTCCCTATTTAATCGGAGTCTTAAGCTTGCTGTCTGATATGATCTTTGACCATGTTGATTGAATTTAAACAGTTCTTGAACAAGAAAATCCTGAGATGGGTCTGGCAAATTCATAATTTATGAAGGAATGAAATGGCCAAACAAATGATGCGTAGCTATGTGCTTAATGAATATTAGTTTTTATAAAGATTATCCAAAACATTACAATCACTTTGACTTTTTCTTCCAGTAAGTTACAATTAAATTACATGCTTTATAACACACTTAATTAATTGCTAAGGTAATTAATAAAATTTACCATTACCTTTTTTTCATGTATTCTTATACTCATCATAAATACAGAACATCATTGAATAAGCTCATATCTGCTCAAACAATATGTCATGCAAAATTAAACAAAAAATATTTTACTGTAGGTATTTTGTAACTAGTTTAACAAAACATTTAAGAAGAATCCCTTGTCAGTTTGATTTCTCTAAACAAAGCCTGCATGTACACAGTTAAATTACATGCCTCGTGAAATTTTATTTCAATTATGTATTTAGAGTAAATGAGACACAACTGATTCATTTGAAATTATATTCAATTGTAGGTAACCTGAACATATTAATTTGCTAATAAAATTGAACATTTCTAACTTCATAAATTATAATACTTGTATTTAAATTTTTCTGCATGTTCAGATACAACATTCATTTTAAAAAATGGTTTATATGTAAAAATAATTGCATTCCAAGTTTTTCTTTTCTAAACATGCTAAAGCTATATTAGACTATTGCTTATCTTCCAAATCATGGAAAAAATGTATCTTTGAAGGATTCATTTGTTTTGATTCCAATTTACAGGTTGATTTGGAGGCCAATTACATGTACCTCTAACTAAGAAGCAACAAACACATTCCTAGATTTAAATATCCTTAATTGGAGAACAAAGAATGAAACGATTAATAGCTGTATGGAAGGGTAATGCCAAATTTTAGATATACATAAAACATAACATTCAAATTACCCCTTCAAAAGTGACCAATGATTAAGCAAAGCAGATATATTGTAGAATCTGAAGAAGGTCCAGGATGATGAGCAACTTGATCACTGGGTTCAGTGGAAAGTATTTTTCGATGACTCTTTAGAAGCCACTTGTTTTGGTTCAGCATTGGTGATGGCACTTTGAGAGTCGAAAGACATGACATCATTATGCTGTTTCCAAATCTCAGCTGCCAAATTACTCTCTTTCTACTTCCTGGGGAATCATCTGTGACTAGTAATTTCTTTGAGAGTTGAAACTGAAGTGGCAAATTCTAATTCTATATTTTACAAATATATATATATATATATATATATATATATATATATATATATATATATATATATATATATATATATATATATATATATATATATATATATTACTCTCTCTCTCTCTCTCTCTCTCTCTCTCTCTCTCTCTCTCTATATATATATATATATATATATATATATATATATATATATATATATATATATATATATATATAAACTTATTATTTAATCAGGAAAACACCATCTGGTACAATTTCATTTTAGATTGAAAGGCCTCATCAAAATTTTTTTTATAATTACCCTTCATAATTATATACTTCGATAAATATCATGACAGTGGCATAAAAAGCATACGAAACTTTAAAATATTCTTAGACATAAGAAACAATGTGGTAAATAAATCTGTCACTTCATGGTCAATAATAGAAGTTAAAATAAAAATTAAAAGCCATGATTTGTTTGTTAATAACTAAGGGACCTTGACATGACTAACTTAGACATCATGTACTGCTTGTTCATATTGAGAACCAATAATTTAGCAACCGTGACACGACTAACTTAGACATTGATTATGTACTGCTGGTTCATTTTAAGAACCAATAACTTAGAGACCGTGACAAGATTAACTTAGACATTATGTACTGCTAATTCAATATTTACAACCAATAACCTAAAGACCGTGACATGACTTGCTTTACTTAGACATCATTTACTGCTAGTTCATGTTGAGAACCAATAACTGAGAGACAATGGACTTTACTTAGTCATAATGTACTGCTAGTTCACAATGAGAAATAAATCTTTGAGACAGTAACATGAATTACTTCGACATCAAGTGTGTGACATGACTAACTCTACTTAGACATTAATCTAGTTCACATTGAGAACCAAATTCTTTGCGACAGTAACATGCATCACTTCGACATCATGTACTGCAAGTTCACATTGAGAACCAAAATCTTTGAAACAGTAACATGAATTACTTTGACATCATGTATTTGCTAGTTCACACTGAGAACCAAAATCTTTGAGACAGTAACACGAATTACTTTGACATCATGTACTGCTATTTTACACCGAGAACCAAATCTTGAGACGGTAACATGAATTACTTTGACATCATGTATTTGCTAGTTCACACTGAGAACCAAAATCTTTGAAACAGTAACATCACTTACTTAGACATCATGTACTGCTATTTTACACCGAGAACCAAATCTTGAGACAGTAACATGAATTACTTTGACATCATGTACTGCTAGTTCACCTTGCGAACCAATAACTTTGAGACATTAACATGGCAAACTTAGACATCATGTACTGCTAGTTCACACTGAGAACCAATAACTTTAAGACAGTAACATGGCAAACTTAGACATCATGTACTGCTAGTTCACACTGAGAACCAATAACTTTAAGACATTAACATGGCAAACTTAGACATCGTGTACTGCTAGTTTACAATGCAAACCAATAACTTAGAGACTGTGACATGATTTACTTAGACATCATGAATGAAAGTTCTCGTGTACTTACATTTACCTTATAACATGCTGTGCAAGAATTTCTTAAAAATCATATCAGTTTGACAGACAGTAATCTTAGACACAATGTTAGATGCAATAACATTCTTTCTTTTCTTTTTCTTTTTTTATCTTACTGTCAGACTTACTCCCTATACATTACATATATTTATATATCTTTTACTTCAATTTCTTAGTTTTATATACTGGCCTTAGACTCCTGCAAGTGTTGATCACTGCATATTTGATACTATTGATGTATCTGACCGTTCACCATGTGTACTGGATCGGTACTGAATGATTTTGTAGCTCTGAATGAACTCTATCTGGGCTCTGGTACTGAAAGTCAGGCAAAAACCCTCGATGATTTTAGAATGTCTCATTTGGTAAGGAGGTATAAAACACACTGTTTAAAGGGCGATCTGTTTCAATACACACTAATTATACTTTAGGCGATTCTTGAGTCTCCAACTGTCCAACAGGGTACCAGTACCAAGAATAAAAAAGTTCGTAAATGATATTCCGAACAATTCTTCCGGGGTGTCGAAAGACACATCGTTACCCCTGATTTGTAGTCTGGGACTGTGGGAAAAAATACACAATGTACCTCGTGTCGAAAAACCTTTAAATGTAAGTGACCCTTGACCACTCATCATAACAAAGAATAGGTCCTGATCCAAAGAAAGGTTTCCGTACTGTGTATTGTCTTCAATAAACTTGCCAAGCGGTTTAACGAACGAATGTCCAATTACACCCTCCTTCGTTGGATCCGCCATTACGAAACAAAAACAGTGGATTTTGACCCCGCACTGTTCACAGGCTCTGATGGAGAGGAAAAACAGTCACAAAGCAAATAACATCAACACTAACCTATTAAGCCAATTGTGCATATGCCCTTATGTACTGACAATCCACTAGAAAATTATTAGGTGTTGATCAGTGATAAATAATCATATGTTTTCCTTTACAAATTACAGCGTTCAAAGACACTTGCAGCTTAAGAATCTAACATTGATACTGATCACGTGATCCCACTGTAACTATTAGCTAAACAAGATGCCTAAAACCTGAGACAATTCATTACGTAACATACAAGTAGTTTACGAAGCCTAAGTTAACACATTATATAATATACAGACAGCTAAATTCTTAACACAAAAATGCAAAGATACATATGAATGCATAAAACATATTATTTCCAATTTATTTCCAATAATATTACAATATAATGTCTTCTCGATCTATATTCTAATCAATTTTAATCTGCTATATCAATTTTGCAGTGAGTTTTCACAAAAAGAGACACACCTGATCTAAAATGAACAAATATGAGATAGAACTCATGTGTGTAACAGTAGTGTATATCTTCTAACTTTTCGGGTATGCTGAATCCGAAGAAGATTATACTGGCAATCTTGAATATGGTGTTTTATGTCAAAATGACGATTGAAATGGCAAACAAGTGATTTTTATCAATATTTATTCGGCTTAATTCTAAGTCAGTTTATAGAAGTTAAAATAAAACAAACTACTGTTTTAAATGAATTAAATGATGATTAAATATTCAAATTTACTTTTTTTCTGGATTCTTCTTAATGATTTATGTTCTTTAATGGCATGAGCATCTCTTGTATAACTTCTCTCATTAGGACCAACTTTTGACTATATATTCGAGGAAGTACTTCTTAGTACACAAATATTTTAATATTTTACAATTATTGTTCATCCTTTGTATTTTACAAGTATTACACCGGATCCTTGATGAACAATGTTATAAGTACTTCAAGAGGTTTTCTTACTAAAGAAAATATCTTCGGCAGAAAAATGGTAAACCCCATCAATCATAGATATCTTTTGTCATTCCTATATAAAGGCTTATGAGAGGGAAGCTAAAATTAAAACCCAAAGTCTGGTAAAGTTGGGAAGAAAAAAAAAGGGGGACAGCACTTTGCAAAGGTAAAGTTTAATGACGAAGAAGAAAAGAAACTTCTGAATAGTTATGAAAAAAGTATTAAAAATCATGAAATTTTTCTTTTTATCAGGAAAACTTACTGACTCCTCAATTAGGAGGAGTTAGTATACAATTTATTTTTTTTTACCATTTTACAAACAATACTTTGTTTTCCATTTCTGAAACTTGATGTACATGTTTTTAACTAATTCACTTTGGGTCGTGAGTTATGACCAATTATTATTATTTTTTTTTTAAATGAAAAAATTTTGTCTGTGCATCTTCTCAGTAACGATTAAGATAAATTAATGAAACTTTCAAGCGTGATAGATCTTGATTTGTACATGTAAAAAAAAATGGTTGTTTTGCCTGTCGCTCTCGTTGATCACAGAAAGTAGTCTTAAAATTTGTTTTTATTTCTTATTTTGTTATTTCTAAATTAATGAAGATGATAATGACAGAGAATTAAAGACTGTCTCAAGTCATACAGTTTCCTCTGGAAAACAGGAAATTGTCATTTATCGACTTTTATTCAACAGAACTTAGTCCTAGCATTATATCAAAGGTAATTTCTTTTTCAAACATAGGAATCCTTGTAAATAAATCAAGCATGAAATTATTCGCGCTTTCTCAGACACAGTTAAATAAAGAGTTATGGAACTAGATCATGACGTATAGGTATGACACACTGTTTTTTCCCCCCGGCAGTCATTTCTGTTGTCCAACGAAGTATTTCTAATTATGATCTTTTTATCATTTTTTTTTTTTTCATTTTAATACAAATGTAGACGTTTTTGTTAGAGAATTAAAAAAATGGATATGTCATAACGGGTCCATATAAAGTAAGGAAAATTAAATCATTTTAAAAGGGTATGTTGAAATTCTTCCATTATCATGTCTGTCAGATAGTACAGCTGGTGTGAAAGGAATGTTGGTCATAAAATTATATACCTCTTATAGTTTACATTTGATCAATTAAGGTATGTCACTCCTCAGTTTTTGAGGGGGAAAATTGGTCAGAACCTCAGATCAAAGTTTTCAATCACCTTTTAATTTTAACAACAAATTTGAATCAATCAACTAATGTAAAGAATAAAATAACGAGCAGCTCTCAAAATCGACAAAAAATATGTTTTTGTGGCGGTCATTTCTTTTGGTACAAGGATATTAAGAATAAAATTCTTAAAGTGTACGGATTTTTTCGCTCGTATATTGGAACTTTGGCCTTTCATACTTTACTCAAAGAAATATCCAAGTTATTATATGCAAGGCATATTAAATAGGTTTCAAATGATAATTTTACAATGACTTTCATACATTTTTGTCGACATACTTTGTCAAAAACTGTAGATGTATTGAAACAGTTAATATAAAATTAACTTGTTTTAAGCCTGAAATTTGACCGCTATAAAAAAAAATAACATCACTCGTCAAAACTTTCTATTTATTATCTTATTTTATTTAAATCACACAATATTTTTGACTGTGTTGCATTTAACTCATAAATATCTTTATATCCACAAATTTTTCCTGTAATGAGAGAAGACATTTCTGGATATTAGCAGCATGTTTTTGATAAACCTGTTGTATATGATATTAAGAAAAAACTCCTATTAAATGAATATGTCATTTATTAAAACTAACAAATGACTAAAACATTTCCATGACTTTGTACATATTACATAGACTCACATAACAATTAATTGGCTGCATGGGCTTAAAACAAAATTATAGTAATATGACAAATTGACTAGTTAAACATGCTGACTAGTCACATGACACGATTCTTACTAATCACATGACAAAAGTAGCCCACCCAATAGTATAAATGTCAAAAACGCTAATAAAAGCAAAAAGGTGGTGCACAAAAAAAAAGCATAAAGCAAGGAAACATGCTGTCTTTAGTAACTCATTAATATTTTGATATAAAAAATTACAAAATGCGTGTTTTGATATTTAAATACCCAAGATATGATATTGAATCAATGGAAAATGTCACAAGATAATTAACGTGCATTATTTTGGGATTTTTTTTCAGATATATATTTTTATCTTTTAGTTTTTACAAGAAATAAGATAATATTTATTGCCATGGTAACAAATAAAAAAATATAAATGAAGTTAAAATGATGAATATAAAAGTTACAATTTAAATGCAAAAAAAAAAAAGGTTTTGATTATTGCCTATTTGTTCAGCATTATGCACACTGACCCCCTTCAATTAAGTAAAGGTTTCCTTCACTGTATGTGATATGTATTCCACAAAATCAATAATTTGAGTATTTTACCTGTGGAGTTTTAAAAAATGTATAAAATTGCTATATGTTTTTAATAAACGAATTCATCTTCTCTTTTCTTTTTCTCTGGTTTCTTTTCCACTACTATTACCCTGTGTTCTCTAAAGCAGCTTGCTAGATTTTCCATTTTTTTTAGGTCTGATTAGAACAACAACACGTCATGACATTTTGTTTTGTTTTAATGACTTCGCAACCAGTTCGGAGACGTTGGCAAATACGTGGTTTTCGTTGGTCAATTTCTCTGAGCGTCTTTTGCCCTTTGTTTTATTTCTATTTATTATTTTTTGATCAAAAAGTACATAACACAACAACGTAAAATTTCAGCGATGATAGAGCAACAATTGTAGATGTAGATTTCGTAGTTAATTTTCACTTCAAGAACTAAATCCTAGGGCACTTAATGGTCTATAATAAGGCTTTGCCAAAACTTTTGTTATAATATAAATCATTAATTATAAATATTTTATTTAAACTACTTGCCCCTAAAACTGGGGATCTGCTTATGCAATTTTTTTCTTAATATTTTAAATAAGTATTGAGACTTTGTAATACATCAGTGAAGCAAAATGGTTTAAAGTTACCAAATCATGATAAATTATAGACTATGATTTTTGACTCTAATTTTGATTTTTGACAACTGCTTCTTCGATAAAAATAGAACCTATGTCATCCTTGTCATTGGTCATCTAAAAAAATATGTTTTTAATCGATTCTGATCATACAAACAGGTACTTTGAGGTTGATATTAAAAAGATGTTTAGGTTATTCAAATTTGTATGAAGCAAAATTTATTAAAGAGAGAGAGAATTCCACATAGAATGAAAGGGTGTCCTCCTCTGTGTCCTCGGTGTCAAAAAGAACCTTTGGCTGATAATATTTGCAAAAAGATGGTAATTAACATTTATCCCAGATACAATATATACAGGGCGTTATATAGTGCCGATACAACAAAACACTCATCCCATCCAACACATTCCCCCTGTTCTGTAATATATCCTTCAATTTGTCAAATTTGATCAGGATTGTTTCATTTATATGGATTTCCCTCGTCCTCCGATCAAAACAAAAATCTCGATCCACCCATATGATCTTTTTTTATTTATAGATCTGCTTACTGACAAGAATAACTAAGCTTCTTTTCAGTAAAAAAAAAATACACATGACGACTTTTACTAATCTTTCAGGGTCTGTATATTTTTTTTTTCAGTTTTGCATATTTCATGCAGTCCATTACTTTTTTGTGACCAGGTCTTCCTACAATCTGTTTGAATACCAATGGACGTCAATTTTGCTACTGTATTGGTTTAAAAAATGTGAAGATAAAAAAAGTGATTCAATCCAACTTGTATTTTTTCGTTACCTTGAAGCAAAATCTACTCAAGGATTTCTACAAGAGAAGAAGAGAACACTTGCTGTAGTCTCGTTTGTCATTCATTTTAGTTCACATCCAAAAATAAAACGTGTGGCAGACTCTGTGGTATCTTTTATTTCGAATTCACAAGGACAAATCGAGTCACCATATGAATAGAAATAAGTATTCTTCATTGGGAAATCGTCGTCAATATATCTGAATGTCGATTTGTTTAATTGATTGATTGATTTATTACAGTTTAACGACGAGTCGGTAGTATTTCAGCCATATTTCGGTAATATATGGATGAAATACCATGGACACATTTCATTTGTTGACTCCATTTATCCCAATAAACTTGAAAAAAGTCACTTCAGAGTCAGCCACATCTGTTTCCTATCTGGGTGTTTAACTGACTATTGACGCTAAAGGCCAACTATGAACTTAACTGAATGACAAACGAAATGACTTTTCCATCGTCAAACTTCAAAATTGTATGTGTCTCCAAACTTATTCGATTCTCAAAGGCATGCTCTGAGAATGATCTCTTTTTAAATTGAGCCAGGCTAGTGTCAAATAAGATGATATCACAAGAATTTCATAACGTTAAACATTTCTTTCTATAATTCAACAAAATAAAACCAAATAAATTATGTAAAAAACAATGGTGTCTTGTAATAGATTTTTTGGACAGTGAATTTGCAAAGGAATCATGTCATGTTTTCATGGAATTAACATTTAAACCAGAGAAATTTCCTGCAGAATTTAGGATGATTTTAAAAAGTCTGCTAATCTGCAAAATCTATGAAGCGAAAAATTGTAACTATTACTGAGAACTACTTGCACATTAACCTATCCATTGATTGACTATATGTCTCAGAAATTATTCAGAAACTTCGTATTTTGTATTTTTATTGTAATCTATCATAATCTGTTGAAAGATCAAAAGTATATTTTGACAATTTCTACCTTAAGGGCCTCTTTTGCATCGGACAACTCAAATGTAATCACTTGTAAAGGTTCATGAAAGACTTGAAAAGACAATGAAACTTTTATCATTGAGAAATTGCTAATAAATAAAACAAAAGAATTAAAAGATAATGCATGGTTTGTCTTACCGCGTAGAATTCAAATTGAATAGAATAGAATGGTTGATTTTTTTTTTTTTTTTTTTTTTTTTTTTGTTAAACATACTTCTCGAGACTTTTTACTCACTTGAAGACACCGCCACTTGCCGGTGGAGGGCTGCAAATTTAAACCCCTATATTCGTCACTCAGGGTCAATGAGCAGTGAGGGATGTTTTCCTGCCAGCACCTACTGCAACACGGAACCTCGGTTTATTCGGTCTCATCCGAAGGACCGGACTTATCGTCTCGTAGTAGGATTCCAACCCGCGATGTAAGGATTAACTCCTCTCAAGCTCTAACCACTGCGCAACGAGGGTGAATAAAAAAGAATAGAAGTTATTGTTCATGTACGTTTCAAGGTTTCTTAAAAGATATTGAAACGCGACGCCGGCTTAGTGGCAGAGACAACTTTTTCCCCGCGAAAATTTTATTGCACATTTGAACAATATGTTCTTGTTTCTAAGAATCGTCCTTCTCTAAAATGGCAAAAGTCATATCGGAGGACGATGCAGGCTCAACAACTCTTACACTGAAGCTAATAAAAATGTTTGTATTGTGTTTCAAACTCATTTTTTAGATCTTGATACGTAAATTCCTAATTCACAACAATATATACGATTTATCGTTATCTCTTCTTGTTTGATTTATATATATAGTGGATGACACAAAAAAAAGGAAACTAGCAAATACACAGGTAGCTACCATATCTAAATTGGTAAAAGTTTGCTTCTCAAAAACACAATTTTTCTTTAAATTTTTAGACAGAGAAATCAGAGTAGAACCTTTGGAGTGCCTCAAAGTGTAAAATATAATATGATGGATCAAGATATTTTAGACCCTTTTTGTGATCCAGGCAACCCCCAAAAAGTGATCTTCAAGGATGTTGAGGCAGCTTCCGATGTAATCAAGGATGACCTCCTGAGTCCTTGCGTTGTAAGACATACATATTCTGTTCTAGATACAGTCGAGCTTTGTTCATCCAGACACTTTTGGTTCTCAAGCAAAGTGTCTGTATTACTAAAATCGACCTTCTACATGTATATTATTTGAAAAATTTTAATCTTCATTCTGTTTCCAAAAGATGAGACGAGACTCAACTGTATTTTGATCTCTCTCTCTCTCTCTCTCTCTCTCTCTCTCTATGTGACAATATTTTGTTTACATATGGAAGTTTTTTCCCTATATCATATACATGAATAAATTTACCAAAATCGACTTTTATTCCCATATGTATTCTTCCGATATTTCTTTCTATTCTGAGAATTCAGAAAATGCTTTAAAGAAAATTGTTCTCGTACTTTTGAAAGACGTTAAATACATGCACTTTGCAATCACTGAATAATTTTGCATTATTGGTGTTTTTTTTTTTAAATTCAAGAAATCTAGAATGTCTAAAATACTGAACGTAAAAGAGGTTTACTTCAAGAAGGAATTTCAACAGCGTACAGGGAGGTAATCTCTTTTTTCTGTTGCACTGTACAGTTATATATAAATAAACCAGATACATTTAGATAAATAGCTAAAACACCCCCTTTATTTGATCTTTTGTGTCATTTTAATTTCTTTTCTCTTTCTGTTATATCAGCGGTAATTAATAATGAATATGAGAATTTTCTTTTAGGATATAATGCTATTTTCTTTCAAACTTCGATCACTGTTTTCTGTTTTAGTTTCAAAGAAAGAGGAGCAAGATATTCTTTAATGAAGCTAACTAAGGTAAAGGAACGTCCTTGCATATCTTTGCAATAATTTAGAAATGATTATTTTTCTCTATTTGGCATGTTTTATCAAATTGCAGGAGATAAATTTATTTCTGATTTATATTTAAAAGCGAATATAAATATTTAAAAAAAATGTACTTTAATGAAAAGTAAAGTCAATGCAAGCTAAAGATTATTAAATATTTTTTTTAATTTATATGTCTACAAATATATGATTTGTGTTTGTTTAAGTTTGACAAAAGATTCTTTATAGTTAAATACGCATATAGCGAAGTGCCATGGACGATCATTTTTATTATTTAGGTGTATAAACATAATTTGTTTTCAATAGGATATAAAACCCCAGGGAATGAAAAACACATTGCTACAAGCGTGAATTCATGATAAGCCTGTTTGCTATAATCGTGTTTTACTGTATACCACAGGAGCAGCAGGAGAAAGGAGTTATAGCGGCCAGTGCTGGTAACCACGCCCTAGCTCTGGCCTACCATGGCTATTGTTTGAACATTCCAGTAACTGTGATCATGCCAACTATAGCACCAATGATGAAAGTACAAGAATGCAAACGTTACAAAGCTACGGTCAGAATTGAAGGCCATGATATTTCAGAGGTCAGTGAACACTTAAAATATAATCAAAATGTGTTTATTATATGTAAAAAGGTTGAGTAAAAATATCTTTGTTGAACAACCTTGCACTCTGTGTTTTCACCCCATACTAGTATCAAACGGAGGGTACAGATTAAAAGTCACTTCAGTAGAGTTAACATTTAGTTAGTGTTGCATACACATGTACATCAGTTACTAGTACTTCATTTCTTTTCTTTCAAAAACTTACATTTTAGAGTATAGATTATTCTTGGAACTGCGGCACTAATTTTATATTTTGTTTACTTTCAGTCAAAAAGATATGCACAGAAACTGGGTGAAGAAAAGGGATATGTTTACATCAATGGGTATGGTTCATATTTTTGATTGTTTCATTAATTAAAATAATAGGCTAATGGAATAAATCAATAATAAAAAAAAATAATCATCTTAAATTACGAATTTATTATTTACTTGTTTGTTTACATCTTGCAAATTTATTATTTTACTAGCTATGATCATCCTCACATCATAGCTGGACAGGGAACAATGGCGTTGGAGATCGTGAAACAAGTCCCTGATTTGGAGGCGGTCGTCATACCTGTGGGCGGGGGAGGACTAATTGCGGGGTCTGCCGTGGTTTTTAAGCACCTCAAACCAAACGTCCAAATCATTGTACTGCCAAATCACACTAATGATTAATAACAATACGGAATGCAACTGATTTTCAAAAAAAAAAAAAATAAGACAAAAAATTGTGAATGATTTAGTAAAATTTTTGTGTTAATTTTGAAGAAAAAAAATTATGTGATATGTAATAATGTAATGAGATTAATTATTATCATGGCAATTATTTAGGGGGTCGAAGCAGAGAGATGTCCCAGTTTCTCAAAAGCAAGAGAGATTGGAAAACCAACAAAAGTTGAATTGATGTCCTCTATCGCAGATGGTAAGGAGTCTGTGATTTTTGCTAATTTAATACAAACTTTCATAAATCAATTTATTCATGATTAATTTCATACAAATAAACAGAAGCCTTAATTGCTTTGCACTTCAAAATCACTTACCAGAGCATTGTTATTAGGTTTGGCTGTACCAACAGCTGGAGTGAATGCCTTTGCTACAGCCAACGAATTGATTGATAAAATGGTTACAGTTAAGTAAGTGGAAAGAAAATTTCTTATACTAAAGCGAATTCAAATAATGTTGAAAGTAGACTTTAAAAGAGTGAATCAAATTTTATTACTAGGGAGGAGAATATAGATCTAGCAATTCTGCGTCTGATTGAAATCGAGAAAGCTATTGTGGAAGGAGCAGGTGCTGCTGGATTGGCCGCCATTATAGAGGGATTACTTCCGGAATTGGCAGGAAAAAAGTCAGATCATTAACCCGATTTTAAAAAGCGTTACTGTAAACCAGCTTTTATTTGATTGCGTTAAATATCCACGAATGTCGTGATCATGTGTTTCTCACAAGTATTTATCGCCGGGAGCTGCTTATTTTTTGTGTAGTTATGTAGAATATTTCCTCAGTCGCACAAATTCTTCGTCGTGGATAATTTCCAAACTAGAAAAAAGTGAATAAAAGTTGGTTTACTTTTTTTTTTAAACTGAGAGTTTGTGTGCACTTGGATTCGAATGGAGAATTGTTCATTTGAAATTATAGTATTTCCCCCCAAAATTTTGGACTAGCTAAATATATAGATGAATATAACATGCAATGGTTGAGTAAATGCAACAATGACATTTGCAAATAGGGTGGTGGTGGTGCTGTGTGGTGGAAACATTGACACTCCAGTCTTGGGTCGTGTGATAGAACGTGGGCTAGCTTGTGATGGACGTTTTGTTAGATTTAAAGTGACTGTGACAGACCGACCAGGAGGGATTACTCATCTCATCAATCTACTGTCAGACCTAAGAGTCGGGTAACTATACCAGCTGTCATTAAGTCATTTTTGCATACTGTGATAAAGGAGAAAGATACGATAGATAAAGCAAGGGAATTTTATAGAATTATGAGAGCGTTTGAAATCAGTTATATAATCTATATCTGAGATCATACCAAGTCATTTATTATCATGAAAATTAAAAATATATATATATATATTTTATATTTATTTATTTGCAGTATCCATGATATATTTCATGAAAGAGCATGGCTGAAATCAGATGTGTTTTCAGTACAGGTAATTAAGAAAAGGTTAAAGACATCTAACACGTATATTGCTCTCAACATTACTTTCTGGCTATTTCACACGAAGTGTCAAAAATGCATAATGTATAAAGATTTTCTTCCGATGTTTCATAAAATTTGTTTCGTGTTTTACATTCTAACTGACCTATATGTATAATAAATCATTATCAAACCTTTTTTTTTTTAATTTTGGTTGCTCTCTCCAGACTGGCTAAAAATGGCCCGATTCAAAACCTTTTTTAACCTCCAGGAAGCAATTAATTTTTACGCATTCCGAAAAATAGATTTTGAAAATTCATCATTAATGTTGAAAAATTCTGGGGGAAAATCCCATTTTTCATCCTGAGTCGGGAGAAGGCAAACAAACTTTATTTTTAGGTTGGCCTCAGGTTAACTGCCTATTAAGGACAAAAAATTATTTTACAGGTGAAGTGTGTTGTAGAGACTAGAGATACAGCTCACTCAGAGGAATTAAAGGCAGCTCTCGAAGAAAAATACAAAAATGTGGAGTGGCCACGGATGTAGGTTTGAAAGCGTGTGTGACAGTTTCGAATGTTGAAAATGTACTAATTAGACTCTCGAAATATAATACATATCCACGGCAAATTTGAATATCTGTACAAATATATCAAGAAAGATTTCATGCCTATAATGCTTGTGTTTGAACGTAAAATAATTCAAAATCAGAATGATTATTAACACTTTGCACAGTGATTGTATACACATTAGAATGGTGAGCCGCCTATTTTGAATGAATTAAGATTTTCTGGGTTAAGTTACAAAGCATCACCTGCATTTGTCTCTCTAAGTGCGAACTGAAACCTTATATTAATTTGGGTTTCATTTCTTCTTCTTAAAGTGTTCCAGAACTAGTAAAAAATATTTTTTATTACTGCCATGTATGCTTTGTGTGTCATTTTTGGTATACATTTTCGAAATGGAATTAACTTGTCCTGTTATTTATAGTGTTATAGTTAATAATTATATAGGAATTTTATTACTGTAGCTTGTGAGTGATTTTGAAAAGCTGCGCTTTATTAAAGAAAACATATTTATATCTTGCCTTATTTCCTGCTTATTATGTTTGTGAATTTATTTTGCAGATATTCGAGGGATACAGGTGTACTGTTTGTTAATGTAATATTACACTTAAGTGAAATTGAAAGCATGGATTGGTAACTAATTTTGGACCATATTGTTTCTACATGTATGCGAAAGGACTAAATTTTGTAATTGCAAACCCTACACCCCCCCCCCCCGAATTCAAACATTGATGGGGAAAACTTGATTCATGTTTTAGCCGGATGGAAATATGCAGACTTCAAAGAAATAAACATTACATCCTTATAGCCTTCAAGAGTTGAATATGACGTCAAAAAATGACGTAAATTTATCATTTCAATGATTTTGGAAAACAATAAGTGTATTTTACGTCGATAATTTTATGAGAAAATATAGATGGGAAAATAAATAATGCAAGTTTGTGCTCTATAAAAAAAACTAAAATCAAAATTATCAAAATTTGCGTATTTTTCTCTCTTTTTGAAATATAACGTCACTTCTATGGTCTGTGACGTCTCAGGACAAAAACGCCAAAAAAATTCCGATCAATAATTAATACATTTTGTTAATTCAGGTTAATTTTATACAATATACTGTAAGACTCCACTCTATGCGTGTGCTTTTTTGAAAGACGCTGGGTACACTATTAGTAATAAGACAAAAAGCCTCACGATTTACAGACCTTTACTTCCCTGGGTCGGACAGTATCAGGCACAGCGTCCCTCTTCCAACTCCCCGAATGTTAGCAAAAATTAGTATTCAAAGACATAATTGATAAGTGACAAAATGAAATAACAGATTCATGGGTTATTTGTTTTACCAATAGAGCGTACGATTACATATTTGAATAAATAATAATTAAGACATTCAAAGAACAGTCCTTGTGGTCATGTCTCTTTTGACTATTTGATGTAATTAAATATCTTGAAATTATAAGATCTTTCAGATTACAGCAATTATGACAACTCGTAAATAATAACCAATAAGCAGAATTTGATAGTGAAAAATTGTAAAAAAAAAAAAAAATCCTTGGTTATTTTGATACATTAAGCACAATGTCGGTCCACTTGAAAAGTTCTCATGTCCATACTGAACATTATGTGTAGATATGGATTTTGTCTGTAGTTTTGGATTTCGATAGCAAGA